CTTGCTAAGCGGTAGAAATCACCAGAGAAAGAAGCTGAAGAATTAATGCAGGCCTTCAGTCAATGTGCAAGTACAAATAGCAGAAGAAACTGTGGTAGCAGTGGAGAGGGGTATATAAAGACAAAGCAAACCTCGTTGATCGACAAAACCCAACGGTCATGCAATAAAGACAATACAGAAACCCAAGTGATGTACGTCGCCTCTTCCCTATCATAGCGTATATATGCCTTCATTGCGCACGAAACCCGAAGAATGTGTCCTATACAACTGCTCCACATTTATGAGGAACAGTTGTAGGGGCATGATGAAGGCACCATATTCGCCCTAGGCCGAGCCAGCAGTATCTATTCTCCTAAACCCATTTAAGAGATCCAGTGGCCCCATTGGGCCGAAACCAGTCCAGCCCAATCAGCCAAGGATGAGGCCTAGCAACGCCCTGACCCAGCTACGTGCACGACAGTGGGACACCTCTAACCAAACAAGCCAAAAGGACAACATTTGGCCCACCAGCTCCAAAACGGGGGCACCAAGATAAAGGTTTAGGGCAAATGTAAACTTCTATTTATAGAAGTTAGCAAGAAAAGGAAGGCAGATTGTTTCGCGTGTGGGAAAATTCTTTCCTTATATAGAAGAGCATTTTTTTTTTTTTTTTTTTTTTTTGATAAATAAAAAATTTTATAAAAAAACACTCCAAGGGGGAGCGGAACCCAAGAACAATACAAAAAGCCACTCAATCCTTCAAAGAGGCCAAAAAATCAACAATTTCCTCCAAAGATCTATGATCTCTCCCTAAAACCCAACAAAAAAGAGTAGAAATAATCGAGAATTTAAGCACCGAAATCGACATCGCCTTTCCTTTAAAATATCTCCTATTCCTTTCAAGCCAAATGCACCACCATACACAAAGCGGTGTAGCCCTCCACGCATCCTGACTGTGAGTCCCCACAGGGCAACCTCTCCAAGCCTCAATCAACCCTCTTGTAGATCTAAGCATAACCCAATAAAGCCCAAATAAGCCAAGCATCAAATCCCAACACTCTTTAGCCACATAGCAATGAATGAGAAGGTGATCCACTGATTCCTCGTTACGAAGGCACATAAAACAACGATTGATCACCACTTGGCTTCTCCTTCGCAAATTATCCTGGGTTAGGATCTTACCCATAACCGAAGACCACACAAAGAAAGCCACCTTGAGAGGAGCCTTGGAGCGCCAAACAGACTTCCAAGGAAAACGAACATCGGGATCAAATGAGAGACACTTGAAGAAGGACCTCACCTCAAAACGCCCATGAGAGTTTGCTACCCAAGACCAACAATCCGAAACCTCCTCCACAATCCTTTGGCAATAAAGCAGCTCCAAGAAGCGAATGACCTCCTCGATCTCCCAATCCTGAAAGTGACGCCTGAATCGAACATCCCAAACCAGTCTCCCATTATCAAGATGATAACAGTTGACCACCATGGCCTGCCTATCCAAAGCAATCCTGTAAAGCTGAGGAAAAGCGAGAGCGAGAGGAACATCTCCACACCACACATCCTCCCAGAAGTAAATCCTCCTCCCATCTCTAAGACGAAATCGAATGTGCTTAGAAAATTCATCCCAACCCTTCCGAATCACTTTCCAGACCCCTACCCCCCGAGGATCCCGCACTTCCAAGGAACTCCACCCTCCTCTCAATTCCCCAAAACGACACGCCACAACCCTCCTCCAAAGCCAATGTCTCTCCACACCAAATCTCCACAACCATTTCCCGAGAAGGGTCTAATTAAATGGCACCAATCTACGGAGACCCAACCCACCATTCCGAATAGGCCTGCAAACCTGATCCCATCGCACCAAATGGAACTTAAACTCTTCAGCTCTACCTCCCCAAAGAAAATTACGCTGCAACCTCTCAATCCTTTCCGCAACTGAAGAGGGAATTTGAAAAAGAGAGATAAAGTAAGTGGGGAGGCAAGAGAGGGTGCTCTTAATCAGAGTGACCCTGCCGCCCTTGGTAAGATACTGCTTCTTCCAACCCGCTAGCCTTCTTTCAAATCTGTCCACCACTGGGTCCCAAATTCCTACACATCTCAAAGGAGCACCCAGAGGCAAACCTAAGTAAGAAATGGGAAATGACCCAGTCCTACAACCAAGAATGTCAGCAAACATCTCAATCTCAGGGACCTCCCCAACCGGCACCAAAACACTCTTGCCCACATTCACCTTAAGGCCGGAGACAACTTGAAACCAAATCAAAACACATCTCAAATACTGGGACACATTCGCATCACAAAGAACTAAAGTATCATCAGCAAACATCAAATGAGAGATCTCCAACTGAGAAGCAACATCCCTGCCCACCCGGAAGCCCCTCAAAAAACCCAAATCTGAAGCCTTTCTCATCAATCTACTAAGGGCCTCCATCACAAACAAGAACAAGAAGGGAGAGAGAGGATCCCCTTGTCTCAAGCCCCTTGAGCTAGAGAAAAAACAGGAAGGAGCACCATGGGTTTTAATCATTTGTAAGAAAGGAATAAATGTACACAATACTTCAGAACGTGACATAAGTAAATAAACCCAAGTACAACGAGAGTAATCATCAACAAACGTATTTATGACCAGAGTAAGAAGTAACAGGGGAAGGTCCACATACATCATAATGAATAAGATCAAATAAACAAGGACTACGACGCATGCGTGAAATATAAGAGGTGCGTGTGTGTTTAGAAAGCTCACACACAACGCACCGAAACTGATGGGTTCTACAAGCTGTTCGTAATCCAGGAAACAAAGATAACAAATGCGGAAAATTAGCATGTCCTAGACAAGCATGCCATAAATCAAGGGTTTGGTTCGTAAAAGAATGCCCTTCCATACTCTAGTAATACGGAAGCACGTGTAAGAATTGGAGATGTCCCAAAGAAGTACAACCCGTTCTTTTCATACCCCCAACCAAATATCCTCTTTTTAGCAAGGTCCTGAAAAACACAATAATTAGGAAAGAAAGTCACTGAGCAGGCCAAGGAACGAGTTAAGTGGCTAACGGATAATAAGTTAAGGGAAAGGTTAGGCGTATGAAGAATAGACTGTAAAGATAAATCAGGAGATAAAGGCACCGTACCCTTACTAATGATCGGTGTAAAATAATCATCAGCAAGGCGTACCTGCCCGAACGATGCTTCCATATCCGAAAAATATCGAGACTTACCAGTCATGTGATATGAAGCACCAGAATCTATTGACCTAAGTTGGATGAACAACACTTAGAGGCATGAAATGCGGATGGGGTACCTAAGTGAGCTGTAGTTGATGTAGCTGGGATGGTGCCTAAGTGAACTACAGCAGATGTAGTTGAAGGGAGAGATGCCTGTGATAAATTATCTCAGATAATAGACCCAATTTGTGTATGCAACTGATGCATATCAATACATCCAGGCAGAGGAGCAGGTGGCTTATGGGCACCAAAGGACTCGACAATAGCAACAGTAGAATAAGTTGTAGTGTTGTTAGATCTGAGGTTTAGGTAGAGCTGGAAGCACCTATCCTTAGCATGACAAGTTTTTCCATAGTGTGCACATAAAGTAGAACTCCCCCGTTCACGGTTAATGCCACGGCCACGGCTGCGAGTACCAGATGGTCTAGAAGAAGCGACTAATGCCATCTAATCAGTGTCAGGTTCAGGAAGTGTAGCAGGAGCCATCGAAGGTGTAACCTGACGTCGACGATCATCCCCATCAATAATAGCAAAAGCCTCGAAAAGATAGGGTAGAGGTGTAGTATTTAGAATTTGAGCACGAAGGGCCTCAAATTGCTCAAATTCTGGACGGAGTCCCATAAGAAACTGATAAATCTGATAGCGCTCGTGTCTAGCCTTAATAATCCCTACAGCCTCTGTTGAGATATCACCAAGGGACTCCTCAAGTTCCGCCCAACATAACTGAAGGAAGGTAAAGTAATTTGCAACTGACAGCTTCAAATCGTCTTAGGTAGCTCGTGAGATATCTCGATGCAATCATACATCCAGGCTTCATTATAAGCATGAGCATTAGTCTTAGTGAGAGCAGTCCATAAGGTGTGTACAGTTTCATGATATATAAACATATTATAAATACACTACTCCATAGAATTGAATAACCACCCAAGAATGGTACAATTATCAATGTCCCATTGTGTAAACGTGGGTTCAGCAGGTGCTGTTTTTTAATAATGCCCAATAAATATCCAGTTTTACCCCGACTCCCTAAATAAAGTCTCACTCATCTCTACCAAGACAGAAAATTTTTCCAATTTAATAAAACTGTAGTAATCCTTTGGGCTTGGGAATTATGCCCATATGATGCGTTATCCTTAGTCTGAACAGATTCCATTTCTCAAATTGTGATGATATAGAATCAAATCACAAATTCTTACCAAATTACAGATTGTAAATACTGTTGTCTGCAAGTCACAAGGGCTAGAAAAGTCTTCCAAGTGAGCAGCTCTATCTGCAGGAGTGAAACTCGGCCGGATAATTCGTCAACGGTATATACTGACCTTGCAGAAGTCGACAGAGAATGAAAAGAGGGGACGATTCGTCAGCAGCACATAACGACCAAGTCGGTCATTGGTTTAGAGAGAGACCCCTCTACCACATGAAGCGATGGGGGAAGAAGATATACCCCCGAAGGGGTTTGGTTTGCTTGGGTGTGGTTTAGTGGTTGGTGACTGAAAATTTTAAAGAACATAAAAAGAGGAGAGGATGAACTAAGAGAAGATGAAGTAGATATCAAGCAATGGAGTGTGTGTCATGTTCTTGGCTCTAATACCAAGTTGAATGTAAAAGGCTCTTATAAGCCACAAATTCTCATTAGCGATACTCCTAATAGGCACATGATGAAAATAATATCATATAAAATCAGATTAAGATCAGATCAAATCCAATCCCTAAAGATACTCCCAATACAGATCAAATCCCTATATTTTCTCCCGATACAAATAAAAAACTGAGGCACGAGGGGAACATAAAAAGCAAAACCTGATACAACTGTGCAAGGCCAAATTGTTGAACATCCTGAATTATAATGGTGTTTGCATTTTGTATGTCAAGCCCACTTTCTACTATATTTGTGCATATAAGAATCTTAATTCCTCCTTGCGCAAAATTTTCCATGGTTTCTTCAAGCTGTTTTGAGTATTGCTGCAATAAATAAATAAAAGATGTATTATTTATGTGAAAAAGCACAATAGTCAACAGTAGTTTTTCATGTCTATATACATATATATAAGTACATACACATTACATAATGATGTATAAGAGCCAGTGTGTGACCAGAGTAGAAACTTCTCATAAGAAAGCTGTGTTAGAAATTATGAGAATTTTTCAACAACTGTTAGTATATTTGCCAAAATTACTGGTGCAGTACCAGGCAAGTACACACCACCAGGTGTCAAGGAACATACTTCGGTTCTTGTATATGCTTCGCTCACTTGTCAAACAAAGAAGCAAGTTCTTCATTGACATCACAATATAATTTTTTAGTTGGGTAGTGTGAAAGGGTTTATTATATCAAAACTGGACCACATGTAAAAAGTCTTGAACAGATACATGGATAGAAGTTAGATAACAATTACTAAGACAATGATGATTCTATAAGTACGACACCAGAGGAAGTTTTGGAAACTATTGGTTATTGACTGCAATGGCACGTCGGTCTGGAAGAACACTAACTGCCAATAGCATAGATTGTGTTGATTTCTCATAATCACAAGGCCTTTTTAATAAGTATCATAACGAGAAAATTTGTTAGTTGTACTAAGAATTATCAATGCCTCAGACAATGTGTGCAAATGTGCCAATATTGGAATGAGAAATTACAATGTATGCCGAAAGATAGTTATAAAATTGTAAGGCCATAAGAAATTTTTTTCCCCCCGAATGGTAGGCCATAAAAAACTTTCCTATTGGACAATTGCATGATTCCCAACATTTCTTCAAAAATTCTCCATATAGAAATGTATAATTCGATAAGCAGTTTCCTGAATACAAAAATCAATAAATAAATAAATTGCCTGAAATGCTATCATCCTGTTTCGTCAAGGCCATCTACCATCATCTTTTCTTCACCTTTTCTTTCTTTATTTCTTTTTTTTTTTTTTAATTTTGCTTTGTTTTTGGAGAAGTAATATATACATTTTTTAGAAGAATTTAAAAGCATTATACCTTGTGATCATTAATTGTAGTTTATGAACTTGGGCCTTCAGTAAAATATGATCAATATTGTCACGAAAGTTAGTTTCTAAATTACCAACAATTTCATATGTTAAACTCCTTTTTTTGAATATACATGTAGTTTATCATCTAAAAAGTACTCTCTAACTTTCTGAAGATATAATGATGTCATAGTAAGAAAATAAACCATGCAAGGTGATCAAGGAAGACGTGTCATCTATAGTCGGATATGTGTACCAGGTGCAGATTTGTGTTAAAAGTGTCAAACCTTTCTTTCTTCTTAATCTTAGGATACTGGGAGTTGGCTTTATACAAGAATGTAGATAAGTCCTGCAAATTTAAATATATTATATGTTATATAATAGAGTAATGCACCATTTATTGTTCTTCAAGGATATATACTTAATTAAATTTAGGTAAATTATCTTGACCTTTCTTGAAAAAGATGGGTTACATGTGCTCTCCTATCTCTCTTCACGAACTTGTGTCGACATAACACGATGTGAGTATGAGATATGTGTCCGATACACAAAAAATTAGACATTCTGACCTTCACACGTAAAAACACTATTTACGATTTTTATCTTAATAGATAATGAGTTAATTGTGCTGGAAATTAACTTAAAAGAGAGTTAATAAATTACAAAGTACCAAATTTTGAACAAGTACCGATATGCAAGAGAATTTAAAATTAGAAAGTCCAAAAGGTGTGAAATTGTTGAGAGAGAAAAATGAGGTAAATATAAGATAAAACTAAAAGAAACTTATATTGACCAATTGGTGCAGGGCAGTAGCAATAAGCTGCTGTCCAGCAACTGTAACAGTGCAAAACCACGAAGGAAAATGATTTCCAGCAGTAGTCAAGCAGAAAAATAGAGAGATAAAGCAATAGAATCGAAGTTGGAACGTAGATGGGTGAGTTCTAGGGCAAAGAGACTCAAGAGAAACTCTAAATCTGATTTCTGGAATAAAAACTGCATACAAAGTCTCTTAATAGACTATTTATACTAGGGTTACAGCAGCCCTAGCATCCTAGCCCTTGATTACTTCAATAACTAATAAATCTTAATCCTCCAAAGTACTTACAAACTCACATGACAGTCACATGACTATTTAAAAAGACTAGGACTATAACTATCATCTACCAAATAACATAAAACATAAAAATCAAAAAAGGCACATAGAAAATAAGCAAATAACTAAAACCCCAAGATAAATAGAACCCAAGCCTAGTTCGCTAGTGGGCCCGATTAGTCTTGGAGCCTTGTAGATGCTCCTGCATCAACTCCTCCCGGTCGGGAAAAACTCGACTCCGGCGAGAAAGCCTCCACAACTTCGGCATATATTTCTGGATTAATTCTTTTCAGCTCTGCTTCAGCAACCCAAGTATTGTCACTAGCAGGTTTACCCAACCATTTCACTAGAAACGGCCTATACTGGCCCCTCCTTGATTTCACCTCTTTAACATCCAATACATCTTCGACAACATCTGGTTCACTTTTGGAAAGTACTTGAGTTGTGCCTCTGTTGACACTGGTTCCCCATCAAATCCTTCAAACGAATATAGATCAGACACGTTGAAGATTGGGCTTATTTGGAGGTCAGATGGCAGCTCTATCATGTACGCATTTTAGATAATTTTCTTCAGCACCTTGCATGTCCCAAACTTCTTTGATTTCAGTTTATGATATGTGCCTTTTGGGAATCTGTCTTGCCTCAAATGCACCAAAACCATGTCACCCTCTTCAAAATCTTTGACTTACCGGTGTTGATTGGCTGCTGTTGCATGGGATTCATTGCTAGCCTTTATCGCTGCCCTTACTTCTTCGTGCACTTTTTTGATGTGGTCTGCAAATGCCTCTCCATCATCACTCACTTTTACCTCTTGTGGTAGCGGAACTAGATCAAGAACATGCTGAGGTTTTAGTCCATAAGTAGCTTCAAAAGGTGTCTTCTTTGTAGATCTATTCACGGAATTATTGTATGCAAATTCAGCTTGCAGAATAATTAAATCCCACGCCTTCACATTGCTTCCAACAAGACATCTCTGCATATTACCCAAACTCTGATTTACTACTTCCCATCTGTCTGAGGATGGCATGTGCTACAGTATTTTAATTCAGTCCCAAACTTTCTCCATACAGTCCTCCAAAGTGTCCCGAATAGTTGACATCTCTATCAGAAACAATAAAAGTTGGCACGCCATGTAGTCTCACCACTTCTTTGAAAAATAAATCAGCTCCATGTGTGGCATCCGCAGTTCTAGAACATGGAATGAAATGCACCATTTCGGAGAAACGGTCCACCACAAGAAAAATACTATCATGGCCCCTTCCTGTCTTTGGAAGTCCCAACACAAAATCCATGCTAATATGAACCCAAGGAGCTTCTGCCACTGGTAAGGGTGTGTATAAACCTGTGTTTTGAGAACTTCCCTTCCCAAACTGACAAACATGACACCTCCAAACCAGCCTATTCACATCCATATATATTCCAGGCCAATAATAACGATCAGCCACCATTGCCATTGTCTTATCCCTAACAAAATGTCCTCCTAACCCATTTCCATGAAGTTCTCTAACAATTTGTTCCCGTAAAGATCCCTCTGGAATGCACAGCAAGTTTCCTTTAAATAAATACCCATCATGCATTCTAAATGGCAGCAACTTCCAACCTGCAGGGCCTTGAAGTTCAGCAACTACAGAGCTAAAATATGGATCTGCGACATACTGATTTTTCAACTCCCCAAACCCAATAACTTGAGTACTCATCACTGTCAACAGTAGATTCCTCCAACTCAAAGCATCTGCAACTTTATTAGACTCACCAGTTTTGTACTTAAGACAAAAATTGAACTCTTGAAGGTATGAACTCCATTTGACATGTCGAGCATTCAACTTCTTTTGAGAATTCAAGTACCTCAAGGCTTGATGATCTGAATAAACCACAAATTCTTTATATGCTAGGTAGTGTTCCCAATGTTGGATTGCACGAGCCAAAGCATAAAATTCCAAATCATAGGTGGAATAACGACATTTAGCACCTGACAACTTCTCACAAAAAAATTCCACCGGCCTTCCTTCTTGACTCAAAACAGCCCCTATTCCTGCATGCAATGCATCACACTCAATAGTGAATAGCTTCTCAAAATCTGGTAGCGTGAGTACCGGAGCTGAAATCTTTTGACCACTCAAAAACATTTGCTTTCAAGCATTCAGTGATCGGACTCATAATGGAGCTGAAATTGTGAATGAACCTCCTGTAGAATGAAACAAATCCATGGAAACAGCGAACGTCACCAACAGATTGTGGTACAAGCCACTCCGTAATAGCTCTTACTTTCTCAGGATCAGCTTGCAAATCATCAGCAGAAACAATAAAGCCAAGAAACACAACTTTGTCGCACAGAAAAGGGCACTTTTTCAAGTTTACATAAAGCTTCTCCTTACAGAGAACCTCCATGACTTGGCGCAAATGGACTGAATGTTCTTTACTTGTATGACTATATATTAATATGTCATCAAAATAAACCACCACAAATGAGCCCAAGAAAGGTTTGAGGACCTCGGTCATAACTCGCATACATGTGGTAGGAGCATTGGATAGTCTGAATGGCATTACTAACCACTCATAAAGTCCAAGAGTTTTGAAGGCTGTCTTCCATTCATCACCACTCCTAATACGAATCTGATGATACCCGCTTCTCAAGTCTATTTTGGAGAACACCTTGGCCCCCACTAACATATCAAGCATATCCTCTAATCGAGGGATGGGAAACCGGTATTTTACTGTAATTTTGTTCATGGCACGACTGTCCACACTCATCCTCCATGATCCATCTTTTTTGGTGTTAGCAATGCTGGAACAGCGTAAGGACTCTTGCTCTCACGCACAAAACCTTTAACAATCAAGTCTTCCACTTGCCTTTGAATTTCAGCTCCTTGTGTGGGTGGCATCCTATAAGCAAG